AACCCTCCCAGTTTCAGACTCTCGTTCTTCTTGTCAGTTCCGGCGGTGAACCTCTGTCTCTGTGATCACAGAAAAGAAATCCTGTTCCACGTTGATTTCCAGGATTTCTCTCGGTGAAAACGTCGACTGACATCTCTGGATTTCCCCCTGAGGGTCAAACTTGATCGTCGTTATTCATCAGTAAACAGAACGAGTCGATCTCTGATAAACTTCACACCCTGATCAGTCGGATCAGTGATGCTGTTTACATATTTGTCTGAAGATTCTCGTCTAATCCTGTTTTCTCTCCTTCAAACTCGTCTTTCTGCTCCTGCTCAGCAAACACTCAACATTCCTGACATTCTCGCTCGCCCCGGGGCCTTTCTTCTGCTTTCTGAGGTAAAAATGTTCCTCTTTTGTCCTCCAGAGGTGATCTACGAGGACCTGCAGTACCTGTCTGTCTCCGCCTTGGCACTGGCCTGTTTGGCCGGACTTCTCATGCTGACCATGTGGCTCCTGGACAAAGTCTACAGGAAGATCAAAGCGTGGAGACGCAGGAAAGAGATGCCAGGTAATGACCGAGTCTGAACTTTGACTCAGCGCTCCGTTATTACAGCAAAATAAAAACTCTGTCATCTTCTATAAACATTAACCGCCATCATTGTGTGGTCTGTATGAATCGACTCTGGGGGCGGGGTCGACCTTTTGTGTCTGAATGTGGGCGTGTGCGAGTACAAAGGTCTGCAGAGACCGACTGAAGGACTTTAGTTTCTTTATTGACAAATTTAATTCTCTTTTTCTGCAGAGAACGACGCCACCGAGCTGCAGCCGCTCTGACCCACAGGTCACCTGACAGGTCACCTGACATGGAGAGGTCACCTGACATGGAGAGGTCACCTGACGTGGAGAGGTCACCTGACGTGGAGAGACACACTCGGCGGTTCATCAGACATGTCAGCGCTGCGTCACGAGGACCACCTAAAAACAGTGAAAGTTTCCCACAAAAAGACTTTAACGAAAAAAACTTTTGTTCGCACGGCGTCATGACGACCACATGACGACCACATGACGCCGTCATGACGCCCACATGACGCCCACATGACGCCGTCATGACGCCTCTGGGTTGGATGTAAATATTGTTCATGAAACACAGAAATACAGTTTGTATTTATTGTCTCAGAAAACGAATGGTGTGAATTTTTTCATCTTTATTGAGAAGAAAACGGTATTTTGGGTCCGTTTATAATTTTCTGAAAAAAAAAAACTTTATTTCTCAGAAACGTTTTTAAAATAAAGAAATCGACTCATTAAAATAGAATTTTAATATTTTAAAAGAAGAGAAAATTTCTGCAGAAACTTTTTTTTATTCTCTTTAAACTTTCAGAAAAAACTAAATTTTGCAAAAAATTTAAATTTATGTAAAAAAAAGACGATCAGATAAAGGTTTGATCGTCTTTTTCGAGAATTTAAGAGTCTGTGATCAAGTCGGACCTGAAGTCTTCGGTCCAATCGGAGCGAGCGACTCGTTCTCGTCATCATTTCTCCAAACATGAACACAGCGGCGTTCGTTCGTTCGTTTGTTGGTTCGATTGTTGGACGGACTTTTAAACTTCGTTTCAGAGAAAAAAGAAGCGAAGCTCTGAGAAGATCCTCCGGATGGTTTTGGACCTGTTGGACCGTCTGTTATAAAAAAAACACTTTAGTGGTTTTAAGTTTCAAAGAAATATTTTCTATAAAATAAAAACTTTGTTTCGTCTCAAAAGTCTGAAACTTTTTAAACTTGTTTTTGGATTTTTCTGGTTTTCCTACAGAAACGACGTGAAAAAACACAAAATCTGCGTTTTATTGAAAAACTTTTATTCTTGTTTGATTTTCTCTAAAAAAACTGAATTTTGACTGAAACTGGAAACTGTTCATGAATTTGTTGAAGATGTTCGATGGAGGAAACGTTCAGTCGGCCCTCCGCTCAAGTTCTGTCCGTTTGTGGTTGAACGTCTTTAGGAGGATTTCCTCTGACGGTCGGACGGAGCGCCGTCTCTGACCCCGCCCCCAGGTCTCTAAGGACATGGCGTCAGAGCGGCCATGAGGAGCTCCATCTTGTAGACAAAGTTCCTCCCCTCCATCTTGCTCCAGTGGACCTCCTTACACGGACCCCTCAGGTGGTTCCACTTGGTCTCCTGGATCACGTCGCTCTTCGGGAGTTCTTTGGTCTGACTGCGGGGGAACTGGACCAGAACTTTGCACCCGCTCTCTGGGCCGTTTCGCACTGAGTCAACACAAAGAGAGAGAAAATCAATAACCCGATCAATAATGATTCTACTTCCTGTTCAGAGTGATCGATAACTGTCTGTCTGTTCACGGAGGAGGTCGATCCTCGACTCTCTTTTCTCCTCCAGCTTGTTCAAACCCGTCTCGTTTTCAACATCAGAATCTGGGTGTGGCGCCGTTTCACACGCCTCCGCTCAAGTCGCCACTTCATGATTACAGCGAAGGAGCTGAGCGCCTCAGTCATGTGACTTCCTACATTTGTGTTTGAAGGATTTAACCCTCGCCTGACCCTCCTGAAATGTTTCAGCGATTAAAAACGATCATGGGGGGTCAGACCTGGACCCCTGAGTCCGAGTCGCTGCTGGACGCACAGAAAAGGCAAACCGGGACTCCTGCTGAGTCAACAGGGCGCCATATTAGCGCCGTGCTCGTGGTTTGATGGTGAACCAGACGACTGAAGAAAACCGAAGATCAACCAACCAATCAGGTTTGAGCGAGAACGCCCCGGTCTTCTGGAGTCCGTCAGGGTCGGCCATGTTCAGAGACTTTGGTCGTCTGGACGTCAACACGCCCAAACGCAGGAAATGCTGCCCTGTGATTGGCTGATTTTGTCTTAACATACCAACGAATGATAAAGTGGCAGATCGATCAGCTGATCAGCTGTTCTCACAGGTGGGTTTACTCCACGCCTGATTGGATGTCAGATTGATCAGCTGACGTGTGACCTGGACGGACGGACATTTAAGCTTTTCTAACGCCGTTAAAGTGAATCAGGTTATGGGTTTAAAGTCGGTTACCATGGTGATAAAGACCCGGCTTCCCCCCCAAGTCTCAGTCCCAAACCGGCCCGTCTCACCTGAGATGGCGTGCTCTCCGTTGGGAGAAGCGACGGTTACAGCAGAGGCGTTTCCGATACTCTCCACCGGACCCAGACCCACGTGGTTACTGAAGCTCAGGACGTGCCAGCCCATGACCTTGGCGAGCTGCTGGACCGCGTGGACTTGATGCTGGGACATCTGTGAGGACAGGGGGGCTCAGGTAAACCTGGTTTTGATGACGACATGAGAGGTGGAGGTGTGGTCATCGTACCTGTGAGAGGAGGAAGTCCTGCAGCTCCTGCTCCTGATGAGAGAGCGTGACGACCCGTCCGTCTCTGTGGACGACCCGGATCTGTTCGACCCCGATGTTCAGCTGCAGCTGGATGGACCTGAACAGAGAAGAGCGGGACAACTGTGAGACCCACAAACCCCGAGAGAGAGAACGCCGTCTGAGCGAGCGAGTTTAAGATCCACGATTTCTGTTGATCTCAGAGTTTCTCGTCCTCACAGGAAACAAAGATCATGACGTCGTCACAGAAACAGGATCATTTCATCCTGTTTCTTCAAAGATCATGACGTCTGAAACTCTGCTGCTGCCGTCTCTTTACTGAGTCTTTGTGACGTTTACTTCACTTTTCTAAGATTATCACAAACAAACAAACAAACAAACAAACAAACAAACAAACAAACAAACAAAAAAACAAAAAAACAAACGTTTCTTGAGCTCCTCTAATGAAACTTTGAAACTTTGCAGTTTTTGTTGTAAATGTGAAAATAAAGTCACCGCTTTAAAAAACTCGGATCACATTTATCAAACGAGCGTACGGCAGAAAACTTGCGTATACCTTACGTACGTAAGTTGTGACGTGATGATCGGCATTTCGATCTGCACACGAGCGTACGCTACGACCAAATGTCACCACAGGTCTGACATCGTGTACGAAGGTTAGAGTCTCTGTGGATCTCAGAATAACTGATAATCAAACCTCAAACCTGTCATGAAGCACAATCAGACAGATTTCATTAAAGATTCAGACGTAAATTTAACTAAATAAAGTTTTTATATCGTTAACGTGAGGACGATGATCGGAGAACAATAACGAGGAGAGACTCTTCAAAGGAGGTGCAGAGAGGAGACAGGACCGTATCCATGATTCTGACATGTGAGGTAGAAGGTTAGAAAGTTCTCTTGATGTTTAATCAGAGATAAAAGTCCATCAGATGTTCCTCAGGAGCAGCGACAGACCGTTTGGTGAGGTTAATAATGACTTTAGTTCAGACTCTTCAGTCTGCTCTACGTCACAAAGACGCGACAAATTAAAACTAAAAACTGTCAGTAACAGGATCAGCGTTCCCTCTGTCAGGGCAATAAACAAAGATGAGGCATTAATAAGATATTAATTTATCATCATGAGAAACTTATTGATTATTTAATTAAACTTCAGCCATCGTCCACTCTTCCACAGCAGCTCCTGTTCAGCTCCACCATCATCCTGATCCACAGTTTTCTGCTTCAGTTCCAGTTTGAAAGTTTCCAAAGAGAAAATCCTCGTTAGTTTCCACCACAGATGTGAGGATGTCCACTTTCACATCTTTGTAATATTTAACATGTTTGACCTCAGTGGGCGGGGCTTCTGAACCACAGATATTTAAGGGCGTGAACATGTTAATGACGATCGATTTCAGCCGCCACATTTATCATGACCCGATCATACGTACGCTGGGATTGGTCAGAAACGAACCCTTTCATAAATCTCACGAGTGTCCTATCGCAGGATGAATCCTGCGCTCAGATCTGAGGTCTCAGGTCTCAGGTCTCAGGTCTCAGGTCTCAGGTCTCAGGTCTCCGCCCCCCGCCCCCCTTACTTGCAGATCTGCTCGTATCCCTGAGACGTGATCAGGACCTTCACGCTGGACTCGTACACGTCGTTGATGTTGGACCAGTGGGCCTGGATCTGGGGGTCCTCGATGCGGCTGGCGAGACTGTCGATGGTCCTCGCCGACCTGGAGATCAGAAAGACGGATTCAGGACCAGAAACCTGGACCAGGATCTGAAAGTGACCCTGAATCTGTTTCTAGACTCAGACCTGAACCTGCTCGAAAAACTACAATCCAGCAAAGAAGAACTACAAAGACCACAGTGCACTGGTTCTGGAATGATGCGCACGCGCACACACACACACACACACACACACACACACACACACACACACTCTCTGAAGTTTGTCTTTTTAACTTTTATCCTAAAAACTGTTTTTATTTTTTTTAATGATCTTAAATTTTCTAAATAAACTCCTGAATCTTTTTTCTCCTGATGACCTTTAAAGCGGGTCGGCGGGTCGGGGGGTGGTCCACACCTGAGCGGGTCGGGGGGTGGACCACACCTGAGCGGGTCGGGGGGTGGACCACACCTGAGCGGGTCGGGGGGTGGTCCACACCTGAGCGGGTCGGGGGGTGGACCACACCTGAGCGGGTCGACTGGTTCTGTTCGTTTCGGCTCAGTGAACTCTGGACCTGACTCTCATCTCCAAACTCTTTTGTTCTTCTGCTGTGAATGAAGCGCCACCTTGTGCTCAGAAATGAACTGCAGTAGTAAGAACCAGGTTCTAAAGGTTCTTCCTGTGGGTCTGGTTCTGGTTCCTGTGGGACTCAGTGGACCCTGATAGACTCACCTGCTGCGGAGGAAGATGTGTTTGGCCTGTTTGATGATTTTCTCCAGCAGACCCTCGCTCTGCTGCAGACCCGAGATCTCGGCTTTATCGAAGGCCAGCGGTCCGGCCAGACGGAGCCGTTTGTGTCCAAAGGGGGCGCTGGCGGGATGAGGCATGACCACGGAGCTCAGCTGCTGCTTATGGAACTAAAGAGACAAAAAACCACCAAAGTTCAGAGAAGAACCTGACCCGATCGGACCGTGAAGGAAACAGAAAAACGTTCGTTTCTCTCATCAGTGACGTTATTGATCAGAGGAATCAATGATCGTTTTTATCACAGACCTGATCCACTTCATTTGGGACATAAATCTGTTTTTTTTTTTGAGTTTGTGAAAATAAACTTTAAAAGTTTTTTCATTTTTAAACTCTTTGATTCTTCTGTCCGAGTTTTTCCTCTAAAACAGGTTCGTTTTTATTACATTTATTATAATAATTATATTTTTATGTTTTTGTCGATTTTTCACTGAAATGATTTTCTCCGTACTGTCGACTTTTTCGTGAGCCGGCCCGGTCCACTGAACCCAACAGAACCAGCTGAAACTGGGTTTATTGACTCTCTGGTTGATGTTTATTATGATTCTGATCGACCCGGATCTGCAGGTCCGTTTCACCTCTCTCATCATCTGGTGAAGATTATGTTCCAGAACGTAAAGATGGTCGTCTGGTTTGGGTTTCTCAGGAGACCCTCGCTGGTTCTTCTTCTCTGCGCTGGAGTGACACAGTGAGATGGAGAGCTGCAGACCTGAACAGGAACAAACAGAAACTCTGTCATGTTTTGGTTCTGACGCTCGGTCCGATCACCCAGACTTCGGGTTTTTTCTCGGCTGACCTGGAAACGGCTGTGAGATGATCTGGTTCTTCACCACGATGTGAGGGATCACAGATTTGATCTGAACCGCTTCTCTGGACAGCTGAGCGAAGATCTCCTTACAGAGCAGAACGTTCTGAGCCGCTTCCAGCTTCACGTGCCACGGCTGAGTCCCTGTGCAGGACAAACGGACCATCTGGGGTCAAAGGTCAAATCAGATTCCAGTCGATGACGTGAAAAAAAAAACAACAGAAATTTGATTCTGGATTTTTTTAAAGCTGCTCAGAGGATCCTGTTCGGACCGGATCAGGTCCTGGAGCTCACCGGCTTTAGTTTTGGACGCTCGTCTGAACAGGTTGACGGTTCCCAGATCTCCGATATCAGGAGCCTGTTTCTGGATGGAGACCTGCAGACGGAACCAGAAACAAGATTATAATCCAGAATATTCAGATTGTAATCCTGTTTAAAATCCAGATTATTCAGATTATAATCCAGATTATTCAGATTATAATCCTGTTTAAAATCCAGATTATTCAGATTATAATCCAGATTATTCAGATTGTAATCCTGTTTAAAATCCAGATTATTCAGATTATAATCCTGTTTAAAATCCAGATTATTCAGATTATAATCCTGTTTAAAATCCAGATTATTCAGATTATAATCCAGATTATTCAGATTATAATCCTGATTAGTCAGATTATAATCTAGATTACTCAGATTATAATCCTGAATGAAAAACAACAAAATCAAAAAACTTTTTCTGTGATAAAAATTAAAACCAGGATCAGGAACTTAAACTGAATCTGGACTTTGATTCTGTTTTTTATGTCTTTATTTTCCTTTTTTTAAAGAAACTTTAACAAAAACAAAAATCACTAAAATAATTAAGTTATTGATAAGTTATTTAAACTTAAGCTGCTTTTCAAAAATCTTCCTGTTCAGAGTTTGTGAAAAAGAAAAAAAATAGAAAATTATTTTTGATTAAATCTTAAATGATGGATGATGATAGGAGGGTTTAGAGGGAGGGGCGATCGACACACACACACACACACACACACACACACACACACCTGACGAGTCGTCGGACTTTTCTCGAGTCTTTTCTGTTCGTCTCTTTCGGAGCTAAATTTAATGCAGGGGCGTGTCCAGACCTTTGACTGGGGGGGCCTCAACTCCAGCTCTGACCCTGCTGTGGTGGTCTGAAGACCACAGACCAGCGTGTCTCTGTGAAGACCCCTGACCGACTACACAAACTGTCGCCTTAAAAACTCGTCTGAACTCGATCAGCCGAGACGAGTGAACCCGGTCTAGACAACGAGGATCTACCATAGATCCAGATCTCCTCCGTCTCACCTTGATGTAAGCGGATCCTTCTAGATCACTGGGGATCTGGACGTCGAGGGGACAGTAGTCCTCGGGGATCTTCTTGTCCAGATCGATGTCGGTGTTCTTGATCACCTCAAAGGTGCCGTGATGAGGGAAGAGGGAACCTGCAGGAGATCGGCACAGTCAGGGACGGGACCTTCAAACATCAGAGACCAGGTGAGGGACCTTCTTACCTGCGCTCCTGTAGCTCAGGTCTCCCAGGATCTTGTCTCCGACTTTACGAAGTTTCCACTGAGATCGGAGTCTCAGCAGCTCCGAGTTAAAGTCCCTCTGTCTTCGGTTCTCCTGGTTCTCGGCGACAGACTTACTGAGTTTCTCGGCTCCTTTCAGGAGGAGCTGCGCCGCCGTCCCCAGAGACTTCTTCTTACTGATCAGCTGGAACACCTGGGGGGTCTGAAGAAACGAGCCGTCATGAGAAACGAGATCGATCTGAAAAGTAAACGTGTTGGAGGCGTGTCCTGACAGCTGACCTTATTGGCCGCGGCGTCCTGGGACACGGGGTCGAGGGCCATGTACTTCTTCTCCTTCACCACGGTCAGAACGTCGTAGAGGACGCACATCTCCGTCAGAGCGCTGCGCAGGTTGTTCCGCACCGAGTCCCAGGGCCAAAGAGACGGCTGAAACTTCACGGTTCCTGTCAGAACAAACCAACAGATCATCGATCATCCAGGAGTTTGATCCAGCTCTGATCTGTGATCGTCTCAACGGTCTGTCTTCACCAGAACCGGTTTATTCTTCATCCTGATATCGAAACAGATTCTCGGATTATTGACGACATTTACGATCAGAGATTAAAGATCGGAGATTAAAGATCGGAAATATAAAGATCAGAGATTAAAGATCAGAGATTAAAGATCGGAAATATAAAGATCAGAGATTAAAGATCAGAGATTTAAGATCAGATATTAAAGATCAGAGATTAAAGATCGGGGATTAAAGATCGGAAACATAAAGATCAGAGATTAAAGATCAGAAATATAAAGATCAGAGATTAAAGATCGGAGATGAAACTAAAAGGTCGAGTGTTTTCAGTCCAACAGGACAATCAAGAGTTTCTATAAATTCAGATTTCATCGTCATTAAAGTCAAAATCAATTAAAGGTCTAAAGGGTTCTATTTCTGTTTGACACAAACCAGAACCAGAACCTGTCTGATCGGATCAGAACTTTGGGTTAATTTTCATTTTAATTTAATATTAAGTTTTAAACGTCGTTATATGTATAAACTTAATTAATATGTCATATAAACGAAGTTTAATTTTGTTTAAAATCAGTTATTTCATCTCTGAGTAAAAATAAAGTTTATAATGATCTTAGAGTTAGTCATGGTTATTATTGTTGTTATTATTATCATTATTATTTTTATAATTATTATTATTTTTATAATTATTATTTTTATTATCATTTTTATTATTATCATGATTATTATTATTATTTTATCATACAGTTATCATTATTTTCATTTTTATTAGTATTATTATTTTATTATTTTCATTATTATAATTTTTATTATACAGTTATTATTTTTATTTTATTATTATCATTATTATTTTTATTTTTATTTATTTTTTATTTTTATTATTATTATTTTTTTTGTATTAATTTTATTTTCAGTGACGGTCGTTTGGATCTAATCGGACTTCCAGAACTTCTCAGTTTCTGCAGGACCGACGTTTAACAACCCGTTCAGACCTGGACCGTTCAGGAGCCGGTTCTGATGGACCTCTGTGTGGACTTCTCCAGAACTCTCCTGGTTTTAAAACAGAACCACGTGGTCCAGTTCTTCAGTACAGACCCGTTCACTGTCCCAGAACCAGATCTGGGTCTTCAGAGTGTTGGACCAGAACCAGGTCTATGAGGTTTTTAAGAAGAACCGTCTGGACCTGAAGGAGGTCCGGTTCTCTCCTGGTCCTACCTTCCTCTTCCTCAGGGTCCGGTTTGACCCAGTCTCGGTCCCGCGGTTCCCCCTCGGTTCCGTCCTCCTCAGAATCGGACTCCTGGCTGAAGTCGATCCTCTGGGCCAGCTTGGACAGGTTCTGGGACATGGACAGGGGGGGGACGTAGGTCTCGGTTCCATCCAAAGCCACTTCCTGGACCTGCTTCTCACAGGAGGACTCGATACTGACCCGGACCGGTGGACCACCGGACATCATGAAGACCTGCTGAGGAGACAAGAACCAGAACCATCAGGACCAGAACCAGAACCATCACTCGGAACCGAATCTCTGATCCGGAACCACCCAAGAACCGGACCTGGATCAGAACAGTCCGGATCAGCAGAACCACACACACACTCACTGCATTAGCCTCTACTGTTAGCTTGTGAGGCTAACTCAGAGCTAGCGTTACTATTTGACTTAAACTCACCAAAATTCAGACCGTGGAGTAAGAACGACTTTATAAATCAAACTTTGATGTTCAAGTTAAAGTGAATCTCACCTGAAATCTCCCGTCGAGTCACAAAATAAGAAAATATTTCAGATAATTCTCCGATAATCGAGCTCTTTCTTCTTCTTCTACTGCTCTTTCTTCTTCTTCTTCTTCTTCTTCCTCTACTGCTTCTTCTTCTTCGGTTTATTGTCGGATCGTAAACACTGTTCAGGTTCATACCGCCACCTACCGGACAGGACAGAGTTGGTCATTCCTCCATCTTTAAACAGACTCGGACTTCACCCTCGAGTCTCTCTCTGGTTTTTACTTCACAGTGTAAAGTTTGTAAAATTCTCATTATTATATGTTTTCACTCTTGTCTTTATTCTTGATGTTTATTAAAGTTTACAGTCATTTTGTCGTTCACACCCACATGTTCAGCTCTCAGCCTCCTCATTTTAATTTCTTCTTTTTCCACATTAAAGATTTTTGTTCTTTATTTTATATTTCTCTCTCTCTGATCGTCTCTCGTTCCCTCGTCACTGATTCACCCTCTCCTTTTCCAGAAGGTTCACTTAGATTCTTTTCAACCTCATTTCCCTTCAACTCTGTGTGAGCTGTGACCCAACAGAACCGAACATCAGAACCACCTCTGTGAGCTGTGACCCAACAGAACCGAACATCAGAACCGACCCGGTCAAGTCTGAGCAGACGACTGAATCCTCCCTGATAATGTTTGTCGACTGAAAATGAATCTGTGTTTATCGCCCCCACCTGCTCTGACCTCCTCCTCCTCCTCCTCCTCCTCCCTCGTCTGACCTCCTCCTCCTCCCTCCTCCCCCTCCTTCTTCTCCTCCCCCCTCTGTCCTCCTCCACCTCCTCCTCCTCCCCCCTCTGATCTCCTCCTCCTCCTCCTTCTTCTCCCCCCTCTGTCCTCCTCCTCCTTCTTCTCCCCCCTCTGTCCTCCTCCTCCTCCCCCCTCTGTCCTCCTACCCTCTGTCCTCCTCCTCCTCTCTGTCCTCCCCCTCCTCCTCCTCCCCCCTCTGACCTCCTCCTCCCCCCCCTCCTCCTCCTCCTTCTTCTTCCCCCCCCTGACCTCCCCTCCTCCTCCTCCTCCCCTCTGTCCCCCTCCTCCTCCTCCTCCGTCCACCACCTCCTCCTTCTCCCCCCTCTGTCCTCCTCCTCCTGCTCCCCCTCCTCCTCCTCCTCATGGATGAGGTTTGTAAAACTCTCTCCTCCTCCTCACGTTCGTTCTCGGCGTCGTTTCGATCAAAGTCTCTGAAATCTTCTTTTCTTCCTGATCTGATGGTCTGACCTTTGACCTTCACCGACTCGTCTCGACCTCGTCTTCGTGTCTCAACGCTCTGAGGTGCTTCCGTGTGATTGGCTGATTCAGGTGGGTGTGGATCTGGTTTTCACAACAATAATGACGTCTCAAAGTCAAAATGATTTTTTTATTTTCTTAGAACAAAACTTTTCAAATCAGACATGGAGACACAAAACGTAAGAATACGGCGCGATTCAAAGAACACGGAGAAAACAGGAGCAGTAAAAATCTGAAAAGACTAAATCTGCGTGAAAACGGCGTTTGTTCACGGCCGCCACCGCAGAACCACCTGAGCATAAAACCAACTCTTTCAAACAGGCGCTCACATGTCGGGTTACTTTAGAAGCAAAATACAAAAACGTAAAATAAAAAAGGACATCCTAAGATTAAAGACACACGGACTGTTCCTTTAAACCACGTCACGGTGGTTCATTTTCAGCCTGTTCAAAGACGAAGACGAAGAACCATCCGGACTTTCATCCAACATCATGACCACGTGTTTTTCCCACGACTCTCTCAGGCACACTTCCCTTCAGGACACGTGAACTTGGGAATGGCGGACCAATCTTTGTGTTCCGGGCGCCGAGCGCGCTCAGTTAGTGTGCTGGACCGTGGAGAAGCAGAGTTTGAGGGTGTAGGGGTACGGACCAGCTGGAGAGGAAGAAACAAACCCGGGTTTGAGAGCGGACTTTGAACCCGTGGATCTACAGCAGCTCGGATGTTCGTCACTCTTACCTGCGTTTTTCATCTGGTAGTGGTTCATCATGGCGAGAGCCTCCATGGCGTCGTTGATGGACTCCCACTCCAGCAGACCTGAGGCGCTGCGGTCACTGGGCGCCGCTCCGCCTGATGGTTAGAGGACAGATGTTAGATCACGGTGAAGGTTCCAGAATCTGGATTCATAAATCAAAGGTCGGATCAAAGCGGCGCTCACTCTTTCCTGTGAACATTTTCACGTTGACGGGACCTTTGACCCCGATCTCTTCACAGATCTGGAAGAAGAACACGGAGAGTTCTGATTGGATCTTTATCTCAGCTGACAGACACACTTTTGTTCACTCCACTGACCTGCGAGAAAACCTCCGGCGTGACGTCGGGCTGGGCGTTGAAGAAGTGCAGAACGTTACTCGGGTGCTGGATGCGGTTCTTGGCCGCCTGCTCGGGCGACGTGAAGCGGTTATTTCTGGACCCGTGAAAATCCTTAAAACTGCTCGTCCCGTCCTCCAACTCGTAACACTGACCCGGGACGATGGCCTGCTGCTTCGACACGCTGCAGGGGGGCGGGGCCACGAGAGAGGGGGAGAGAGAGGGTGAGGGAGAGAGAGGAGAGAGGAGAGAGAGAGGAGAGGGAGAGAGAGAGAGAGAGAGAGAGAGAGAGAGAGAGGAGAGAGAGAGAGAGAGAGAGAGAGAGAGAGAGAGAGAGAGAGAGAGAGGAGGGAGAGAGAGAGAGAGAGAGAGAGAGAGAGACAGAGAGAGAGAGAGAGAGAGGAGAGCGGGGAGAGGAGAGAGGAGAGCGGGGAGAGGAGAGAGGAGAGCAGGGAGAGAGAGAGAGGAGAGCAGGGAGAGAGAGAGAGGAGAGAGAGAGCGGGGAGAGGAGAGAGAGGAGAGAGAGAGGAGAGAGGGAGAGAGAGACAGAGAGAGAGGAGGAGAGAGAGAGAGAGAGGGAGAGAGAGAGAGAGAGAGAGAGAGAGAGAGAGAGAGAGAGAGAGAGAGAGAGAGAGAGAGAGACAGAGAGACAGAGAGAGAGAGAGAGAGAGAGAGAGAGAGAGAGAGAGAGAGAGAGAGAGAGACAGAGAGAGAGGAGGAGAGAGAGAGAGAGAGAGAGAGAGAGAGAGAGAGAGAGAGAGAGAGAGAGAGAGAGAGAGAGAGAGAGAGAGAGACAGAGAGAGAGAGAGAGAGAGAGAGAGAGAGAGAGAGAGAGAGAGAGAGAGAGAGAGAGAGAGAGGAGAGAGAGAGAGAGAGGGAGAGAGACAGAGAGAGAGAGGAGAGAGGAGAGAGAGGAGAGAGAGAGGAGAGAGAGAGAGAGAGGAGAGAGAGAGGAGAGAGGGAGAGAGAGACAGAGAGAGGGGGAGAGAGAGAGAGAGAGAGAGAGAGAGAGAGAGAGAGAGAGAGAGAGAGAGAGAGAGAGAGAGAGAGAGAGAGAGAGAGAGAGAGAGAGAGAGAGAGTTTAGGAGAGAGAGAGGAGAGAGAGAGAGAGAGAGAGAGAGAGAGAGAGAGGGAGAGAGAGAGAGAGAAGCAGTGAGGGTCCATTTTGCTTTTCAGTTCTTTACAGCGTTTCCTTCAGACAACCCCCCCTCAAAAAACAGTATCTCTCTCTCTCTCTCTCTCTCTCTCTCTCTCCTCTCTCTCTCTCTCTCTCTCTCTCTCTCTCTCTCTCCACTCTCTCTCCCTCCCTCCCTCCCTCTCCCTCTCCCTCCCCCTCTCTCCCTCTCCCTCTCCCTCTCCCTCTCTCTCTCTCCCCCTCCCCCTCCCTCCCTCTCCCTCCCTCTCTCTCTCTCTCTCTCACCACACGTTGATCCTCTGTCCGAACAGGAAGTTGTTGTTCAGGTTGGTGATGGCTCGGTCCACAGCGTAACAGTCTCCCATCTCCACCATCCCGGCTCCAGGTTTGGTCTTCATGAACTTCACCTGTTCAGAGGGTCAGAGGTCAGAGGTCAGAGGTCAGGAGTGAAACAGAACCAAACAGAACCTCCTTAGAGCGTGCGGACGGCTGAGCGGGTCGGGGTCCATCTTAGAGCGTTCGGACGGCTGAGCGGGTCAGGGTCAGGGTCCGTCTGATCATAGATACTGACCCGCTCCACGTTTCCATAGAGACAGAAGATGTTGAAGACGCGGTCTGCGTTCATCTTAGCGGGGTCCAGTCCGTACACCATGATCACCGGAGACTCGGCGTGCCCGCCGTACTCGCCAGGGGGAGGGGGAGGAGGTCCGTAGCCCGGTGCGTAACTTCTTCCACCGCGTCCTCTCATTGGTGGACCCATGCGGCGTCCCTCGTAGGGTGGGGACCCGTAGCTCTCATCGTAACCATGGTAACCACCTCCTAAAGAACAGGAGAGTTTGATGAGACGGATTACAGGATCCGTTTGGATCTCCGGGGCGCCGGCAGACGAAGGTCGTTCTGGATTATGTGTCGGTCTACAGGTGACAGGTGAGCCGGCGTCTTACCGTACTCCGGAGGGTGGTCTCCGAGCAGAGCGGGCTGTCTCTGCCGCTTGTTTGGGTTGGCGTTCACATCTTCTACGAGGAGAGGAAGACAAAAAAGGAGGAGAAGAGAGATGAATATGAGAGAAGAAGGAGGACGGACATCAACATGAAAATGAAACACCTTTAAATATCGAGACTAAAAAGGTTTTCAGGTGAAACTACGATCAATAAAACTACAGAAACATGCATCTAAAGAGAAACTGTGGGGGGGGACAGAACAGCTAATCAGGTTTAGAGACGAATCCGTTCAAGAAAATCCCTTTAAGGAAAAAGAGGTTTTGACCAGAGGGGGGCGCTGATGAGCTACAACATGAAGCAGGTCAGGACAAAGTCACTCTGATAACAATCGTAGTAAAAACACACACCTGAAGTGCTGCCATTGCCATCTGCATCACCATCTGTACAGGTACACAATAATCAATAATCAATCAGAACATTAACGCTGAGTCACACAATACACACACTGTTCCTCGGTCAAGACTCCAGGGGGCGCCAGACAAACAAGGTTTTATTATAAGACTCTTATTTTGAAAAAACTAAAACAAAAACAAAAACAAAAAAAACTGATTCAGAAAAAAGATCAAAAAATTTAAAAAATCAGAAACTTTAAAAAAAAAAAAAAAAAAAACTAAAAAAATATTTAATTTAAGGAAAGCAACAGACTTTAGAAAAGAACAAGGAAAGGAAACAAGGATAGAAAACAAGGAAAGGAGCGAGGAAGGGAACAAATAAAGGAACCTGTAAAAGTCGGAGACGTTGAGGATCGTCTCTGAGGTTCAGGACTCTGTGAGAGACCGCGTGAGCAAACAGAATAAAGGTCCTGGTTTCATCGTCTACAGAAGATCAAAGAGGATCTGGACTAAAGGAACCAGAACCAGAACCAGAACCAGGACCAGGACCAGAGGCTAAAAAATGAAGTTTTTTTTTTTTACATCAAACTGATTTTTACAAAAAAAAGAAACTTTTGATTTTGAACATTTTGTTAGTTTTTTTTATTAACTGAGTCTGAAGAACTCGTTTCTTCTCATATTTGACTCTTTTTTTTAAATGTTGTTTTTGAAGTTCTGAGTGTCTCACGACCTCAGCAGAGCTTCACTCAGGACACGCAGACTCTTAATGCAGCAAACAGCAGCCGCCGCCGCCGCCGCGGCGCACAGACAAAGAGCTCGTCTGGTTTCTGAGAAACGATGTCGTTAAAAGGAGTAAACGTTCACGCTCTTAAACAACACGACGGCTAACAGAGGAGCAACAAAACAGATGATCAGACAAATCTGTTAATAATGAGGTTAAAGAAGCGCACCACCACCCTCTACAGACGGAGAGAGAGAGCGAGAGAGAGAGAGAGAGAGAGACTGAGGGGATCTACTGCAGCTGCTGTATCAGTCCTGTGTGCCCGTGGTGGGTGTCGGGCTTTGGGGTTGTGTGGTGCTGTGCAGGAATGTTCCTGGAGAAGGTCTCTTTTACTTACTGCAGGTTTACAAACAGTAGGAAGAAGAGATTTGCTGAAGAAGAAGAAGTCCCCCCACTCTCCACTCATTTCATTTCAGCGCACACCCCTAATCCACTTCCTCTTTGGGGAAACAACTCCACAGGCTCAGGGGTCAGGGGTCATCCATTGCTGCTTTTATTAAGTTGAAATGCCCGTGGGTGGGTTGGCTGGTGGTTTGGCAGGCGGGGGTTTCCATCCTTTCAAATAGTCCACTTTACCCCCACCGGTAGACCTTGAAGCTGCCAGAGCACAGGTCAGTCTTCTCGGGCGTTAAAAGCCAAAACCTGCATCACATGGAAGGTGTTACACAGGTTCGAGAGACGAACGTCATTCTGTTTCAAAACTTCACTCATAAAAGGGAAAGCTTAGGAGGGATGCATGTAGGCAGGAGGAGGAGGAAGAGATGAGATGAGGAGAAAGAGAGAGAAAGAGAGAGAGAGAGAAGAGCTGAACTCCAGGAGGGAGAAACACATGAGACAGTGAGTGGGCTCTGAGTGGGCTCTGAGTGGGCTCTGAGTGGGCTCTGAGTGTGCTGCAGTGTTGTCAGCAGTGTCTTCATCAGTTGTGTTGACTCCAAAGTGATTGGTGTGTCTCATCTATTGGATAATCAGTCCTGACGGCCTCCGTCAGTGTTTTTGTTTTTGAGGACAGACGGGGTAATAAAATCATGTGATCAGCTGATTATCGTCTGTTTGGGTGGATGGATGGATGGATGCTGTGTCTTCTTGGGTATCAGTCTCCGTTTGGTGTGGACAGTGGTGGGTGTGTCAGATCTGGTAAGAAAGGAGGAAGGTGGAGGGGACCAAGTGTAGCTCAGTGCCCCAAACGCCCCACCCTCTCCGAGTGTCTGTGGTCTTCGAGGGTCTTGTGCAGGAATGCAGAGATGAGGCGTGAGTGCTGGTATCAGTCCTACATCTTCATGTGGAGCTGCGGGTGGAGCCCCTCTTTGTATGATAGTGGTTGTGTCCTCACTGAAGAGAGTAGAGATGGTGGTGGTTGCTGGGTGGAGATGTTGTCAGCATGTATTTGCCTTTTCAGTGAATGTTTCGGGTCTTTGCTGAGATCAGGAAAAGAATTAGGAGGTTGAAGACGGACTTGTCTCTGATTCTGGTTTACGCTCAGAGAAAAATCACGACTTTAGCAGAACTGAGTGAAACTGAGAGAGCAGAGCGCTGAACTACAGCGGAGAGACGTTTGGAGAAGAAACTACAAACACTAAAATGTGAATGTAAAGGACCAGGATCAGAGCGTCTCTGAGAAACATCCTCAAACCAGGACTTCTCAAAACTTCTCCACTTGAATCACCAAAAACAGAAAACCCTGAGATCCAGTGTGGTAGGAAAGGCCGGGGCAGAAGGAAACCTGCGTCTACAACAGAGGAAGAGGGTCCCAGAACGATTCAAACCCAGGCGCCACATTTTTTCTGTATCATAGAAAAAACTCGTCTGTTAATAAAATGATCAGAAATCGAATTCATTGACCCACAGATCAGCGATTTTACTGCAGCCGACTGTCTAAAGAAAAAGAGTTTACATCAGGATCAAATTCAACATTTCATCAGGATCTTTTTTATCAAGTTATTATGTTTATTATTATTATATTCTGTTTATTATTATTATATTATTCTGTTTATTATTATTATTATTATTATACTATTATAATATAATTCTGTTTATTATAATTATTATTATTATACTATTATAATATAATTCTGTTTATTACTTTTATTATTATATTATTCTGTTTATTATTATTATATTATTATTATTATTATAGTATTCTGTTTATTATTATTATATTATTCTGTTTATTATTATATTATTCTGTTTGGGACGTTCTCCAGTACTCTGCCATCAGCTGATCTGACTTCAGCGCTAACCTCACCAGACGGCCAAAAAAGAACGAGGAAACAGGAGAAACACGAGCCGAGTGCCGGGGGAGGGTCTGTTGATCCTGCACTGATTCTTTTAGCGTTGACAGACTCTTTGTTGATTCTGGTTCATTTCTTTTGTTTTAGTGTCGAACCTCTAACTTCTGTTTTTAAACGTCTCCACTTTAATCGCTGTTCTGACTCGTTGTTATGTAATGTGGCGTAAAGACTCAGTAATGAGCAGAAATACTCGGTCTGAAGTGTTTTCAGGAGCGAACCTTCAGGTCAGGGAAACCAGAGCGACAACATTCCTCCGCGGTAAAGAAAGCTAGCCTCCAGACACGGAGGAAGACTCTCGACAGTTTCTGTCTTCAGGTCAGGTGACCGAGCGCACGCCTCAGAGAACTCAGCTGATCTTGACGGCGTGTTACCTCATTTGTCTACAACGTGCGCCCGCCGTTCCTACCACACAGCAGGGCTCTGTTACTGCTGGGTTGTCTGGGTTTTGAACCCGGTCCTTTCTGTGTGTTGTGAAATGTGAGGGTTAGACCCAGAGCAACACTACAGTCACACAATATCACACAACGGCAGCAGAAAGAAGGACATGTCTTCTTTGTTTGCAGCTCAAATCTCTTCATGACAGAAAAGGAAGAACGATTACAAACATGTGCGGCCGTCACCGAGTCACTGAGGGGGTGTGTGTGAAGGTTTTACCTGGACCTCCTAGATTAGGGTTTGTGTAGTCCCAGGTGTCTTGGTCATTCTTGAACACATTCAGACGAGTTGGCTGGAGGAACACGAGTTCATTAAATGAATGAATTAAAGTTTCAACATCAATAAAAATCATCTCAAACTTTAAACAGTGAATTCATGGAAATCATCGGTTCAAAGACCTTCAATAAAAACTGCAGTCCCTTTATTCTGAACCTTTTCCAGGTCGACGTATTTAAGATCATTTCTCTTGGAGATAGTTCGGATAAGATTATCAAAGTGTTAAACCTATGAGTGTCCTTTTCTGTCACGTTACCTTGGCATACTCGATTTTCAGCGTGCAGCAGCCAGAGTAGATGTCGGCTCCGTTCAGAGACGCTTTGGCTCGCTGGGCGCTTTGCACAGAGTCAAATGTGAGGACAGGATTAAGGAGAACACCGTAAAACCTGGATCTTACAAATGAATCATCAGATCTTTTTAGAGATTACAGAGGGGATGATACAGGCACTGATCAGCAGCTGTATGCACATCTATGACCCGCCTCTTTGTGATTGACAGGTTGCCAGAAGCCTCGATGGCATCATCGTCACATTTCTATCAGGAAAATAAATCTTCAACATTTGGTCAAACCGGTTTTAAGCATGAATACAAACCAACAAACCAGAAAACCTTCTTTTACTGAAGCTCCTCAATCACTGCTCGGGTTTTTGAAACTCTATCCAGGAACCTTGAGAGGAACGGGATCCACTTGGACCGCAGGAACTAGAGTCTAGATTTAGTGGTGGGTTGAAGATCTACGCCCTAAAAAGCTCCTACTGGTGGGTTTGGACTTTTGAATGACCTGGAGACTCTGGTTTGACCACAGAAGAGGAGCTGTGGACCAGGTCTTATTTCACCTCATCTGATCTGCAGTAAAACATTTAAAACGTGAATTTAGACTCAGCTTATGGTCGTTGTTCCTCCACCTCAGACGGCGCCTTAGGTGATGAAGCAGTTTGGAGGTTAGTCTGATAAGAAGCTGCTTCATCATTTACACACAGACAGCAGCCGAGCAGAGACAGAGCAGAAACCTGAAGATCTCAGAGAACATCAGATCCTGCTCACCAGCTGCTGCTCTGATTTACATGATTGACCCTGAACTCCTGCAGACGTTGGCGGGACACAGAGACCATTTAGTTCCTCTTTAAAGGAAGTTCTGGATACTTTTGATCAAAAGGTCCGTCAGCGTCGACCTTTTTCTACGTTATGGAAATACAGAAGGACAGATGAAACCAAATGTCTCCTTTGAAAAGGATATTCGACCATCGCCTGGACGCCGTTCTTCCTGAAGATGACGATCCTCTGTACAGGCCCGCAGTTGTTGCAGATTGTGTAGAGAACATCCTGTTAAAGTGCACAAAGTTTAGAAACGGACAAAAACACAAGAACATTTGACCTTTAGTGACCCTACTCTGAGCTGGTGCCTGTATCTGCTCCAGGTGAGACAGTTTCCACTGAGGAAGACAAACATCATCCAAACATCTGATCCAGGATCATCACAGGTACAGGAGAGAGAAGTTTTTAAAGCAGGACAGATGATCGAACTAAAGGCCACGTTTACAGATCCGTGCAGCGTTATAACGTCAGCGAAGAAGACAGCTGAAAACATCCCCGCTGAATACAGAGACGGATGAACCACAGCAGAACCAGAAAACAAGATCATCAGACCAAGAGGATTCAGACGTGAAGAGGACAGAAGTTTGTTCATGAATTCAAGCAGAACTTTGGGGTTTGGGTTTTACCTTTAGCTCTTGGCAGCTACCGACACATTTCAACATGAAAACTTCTCAGTTTCTACTTTCAGAAGGTTCTGATCCCAACAACACGAAGACACAATCGTAAACATGATCAGAGCAGCCGAGCTGAACGATGTGGATCCTGCTCACTCCGTTACTTACTCTGAAAACAGGCTTGTTTACTCTTGTTTACATTTCTATAACCTGCCTGTCCAGACCTGCACCCTCTTCACTCTCTCTATCAGCTCAGACCCTCCAACAGCTTGAAGGCGGTGTATTTACCGTGGTGATGGGGTAGATGGGGTTCATGATGGTGAACAGAAGGACGTTGTTTACACTCCGTGAGTCGTCGGAGTCCCCCGGCCTGGAGATCTTCTGGCTTGTGGAGTAGTTAATAAAAGCTGGGTGTCCTGCGATGTAAACCTGGTTGTCTGCAGCGTACGTGACCGCTGTGGATGATCCGTTCATGTCCTCATACTCCACCAGAGCCTGGCGCTTCTTGGGCATCACCACCACATAGCTGAAAACAAGAGCAGGTGAGGGTTTCCACGGCAGCAGCTGTAAATTAACCTCCATCCTACTGTCAGCAGGTTCCTTTTCAAGGTGTGAAATTTTAGGTTCTTATGGGGACTTATGGGACTAATTTTTTTCTACCTGATTGCTCCAAACTCTTGCAAGGCCTCCACAAGGTCGGCCTCTGTGACGCCATCCACGAGCCCTCTGATGTGTACGACCACAGACGGGAGGGTCTTGTGTGGATCTTCGTATCCCTGCAAAGGAAAAAATCATGTGAGCTGTATCCAAATCATGATGTGTATGAAGGAGCTTAATGTCCCTCCTATAAGAGTGAACCTCGAACTGAACACCTTCATGTTTCTGTTCAAAGACAGGCGGATTCAGGAAGATCTCTGAGATCAAGAACAGCTGATGGGAAACCTTCACTTACTGAAAACTCGGCATGAAAACCTGTTTGAGGAGATAAAGCCACTCTAACTAATCCTGTGGATTTCAGTAGAACTGATGGCTGTAGAGCAGTTAGTTTGGGGATAAAGAAGAAGATTAACTCTTTAAAATAAACATGTTTCCCTTAAACTTGAAGACATGGTGAATAAACTCACTCAGTTACAGTAAAACAGCAACACGACCCCCTATATGGGGTCAATTTAATCCTCCTGATAACAACTTTGGGGCTCAAGGCTAGCGAGATGCTAATGTGGCCGGTGTTACGACGAATAGTGCTTCCTATCGATTAAACGGCTGTACGCATGCGCATATTTATAATCTTGTGCGTTTGTCACGACTTCGGAGCACAATCTGATTCCTATCGATCTGATTCTCCTGAAAAAGGTTTTTTATTAAAGAAATGACAATAACGTTCCCGTTTCTCTTACAGTAAATGGACTAAAACACTCAAATACTCAAAAACACTCGAATTCGTTCTTTATCTGACAGGAGAAATGCTGAAATGCGCTGGTCTCAGTACTTTTGGGTTTGGGGGAGAGATCGGAACATACTGGGCTCGATTGTTCAATTTTAGTCTTTGTTCGTGATCGGAAACACTAAAAAGTGCTAATTTAGACGAAGTAGCAGATCTGAGCGGAACACCGGTACCAGAACAAAGCCTGGCGCTGCGGAGGCCCACTGGGCTCAGAAACCGCCCTCAAATAAACCCAAACTTTCACATTTATGAGCACTTCCTTTAATAACTTTGATATTTACTCGGTTATAATCATATTAACTAGAGTTTGATTCCACCAACGGCACTAGATGAACCGCAACACCACCGCATCGTTACTGGTTATAATTCCGTACATTTGAATGAAAGAACAAAAACAGAGCCGCGGTGTTTTCTATCTGATTAAAAATAAAAACCTTGAGCAGTGTGAACCGTAAAGATACCCACCGAGGCCATTCCGTCGGTTTTCTGTCGTTTGGTCGCCCTGCCGTCTTCGCTGTAGTAACGGCTGTTCGCTGCGGTGGTCGCCATGTTGTCCCGGTTAAAAACGCTCAATCGAAATGGACGGAAAAGTCATGAAAAACCAGGCTCGGCTTTCCACGCCCACTGAAACTGCGCCGCGGGCCGTGATAGGTCCAGCCGACTGTCAGTCATTTTGTGACTTCTGCCGTGTCCAACAGGAACAGAAGAGTAAAAACAATTCTACATCCTGACACACAGACTGTTTATGATATATATATATATTTACTATATTTTATACATATATATATATATATATATAAAATATAGTAAATATATATAGAGTCTATGTTCCTGAGACACTGTATGTATGCATATGTTTATATATATATATACACACACACACACACACAGTCTGTGGTCCTGAGACATGAGGGGATTTTGGTTTACTAAACAGAATCAGTTTTATAATTTAAATATCTAAATCTTTCATATTTTGACTCAAACTTCTTTATGAAATAATTCAGGACGACAGAAGAAACTGCAGATTTAAGTCCTTTCACTTGATCAATTTAACAAAGTTTTTCCTTTTCACTTTAATTTAAAACCATTTTTTAAGTAGGAAATATCAGAATTAAAAAAACAAACATTGTTCTTCACTGTGATATTAGGAGGAGCAGAGAAAAGCTCAACAGGAAGAAGAAGAAAAATAAAGGAGATCAGAGAGTTTTTATGATGAAGAGGTTTAATTCAAAAATAAAACTGCCACTGTCTTTGCAGATGAACACATCCAAACTGTTAAAGCAGCCCCCGCCCCCCCCAACACACACACACACACACACACACACACACACATAAACCAAACTGAAGCGGAGGTTTTAAAATCAGGAGTTAACATGCAGGTGAACCAGCAGAGCTCAGCATGTTCACAGGAACTGTGGGAATAATGTGGTATTTCATATTTAAGGACATGCAGGCCAGCGGTGCCGTTAGATGATGAACCAAAAAGTCCGATAGTGAGCGAATAATGTTTTCTTTAGGGGGGAGGAGGAGGAGGAGGAGGAACGGGTTCAGACGTGTGGTTCAGACGTGTGGTTCAGACGTGTTAGCTTTAGGAATAAAAACAGTTTTCAACAACCTGCTGTTCCTCTCAGAAACGATGAACAGGAAGTCATTTACGGATCGAACTCCCCAAATCTCTGCTAAAAACTGTCCCTCAGATCCAACAAAGGTAATTCATACACTAGACACATGACTTCAAACCAAAGATGATCTTAACAGCAACATTAAAACAATCAAATCAAACTCATTTCCATACTGACTACATCTTCAACAAAGTGAGGCTTTAAAGACCACCGTCTTTCATGGAGAAACTGAAACTAAGCCGGGACGAGACAGACAGGTAGAAAAGAGCTGCTGTTAGGCTGTAAAGCAGACATGGAGCAGGGTGAGGGTCTGTCTACAAAGAGGGACTTTTAGTCTTCACTCAGTCATCCGCTGGCGTTGGGCTTCGGTTTGGACTTGCTGAGCGGGAGCGACTGAAACAGAAACAGAGATGAGTTAGTCTGCCACAGGGGAGGATGGTTAGGAACAAAAGCACAAAACTCAACATCTGTGTACGATCTGGATGAACACTAAAGTATCTTTGACCGGCTACATATTCAACAAGTCTTGGATTTTCTGAGTTAGATCAGCTGTTTAAAAAAAAGCTGAACAGCTGATCTAACAAACAGATATTCTGGATGTCAAAGGAGAGGTTCTGGCCCTTCTACAGACACAGGACCGAGGCCCAAAGAGCTCAGACCTGTTCTGTGAGAATTATCATGGTGATGTGGTGCCATGAGCACCGAGACAGTAATGATGTTTGGACTAAACTCAGAAATCTTAGAAAGCCTCCTCTCACCTCAGCCGTCAGGTTTCATGCTGGCTCCTACTGCTCATCCAAACATTAACACACATATTTCAACTCTGAGCATGCAAGACTCAACTTTAGCTTTAGAATGACCAGGTTTTTTCAGTCTACATCAAACCTGTAAAAGTCTGTGACCATGAACATAAGCTTGTCAGGGGGGTTGATTTTGGTTACCTTTGCAGACAGTGGCAGAAACAACAAGTACAGAGAAGCGAAGGATGAAAGGACTGAAGGATGGATGACTACAGCCTCTTGAAGACTGATCTCTGGTCAGCTCTTTCTCTCACTTTCAGAAGCTAAGACAGAAGCCGTAGAACTCTGGTAGGTAGAATTTGGGTTTTAAAGGTAGTGGTCGAACTCTGATCTGTGTGGGTCAGCCCTCTGGGAGATCTGAAGGCTGTCTGGGTGACTCTAGTAGAACAACTCTATGTGTGCGCGGGCTGATCTCATCTGAGCGTGTGCGTCGGTTGAACAGACGGTCACCCTCTCACTGTGGGGAGGGTTCTGTCTGTAGGTCGACCTCTTTCTCGCTGTCTAACACCAGATGCAGGCGAAGGCTGATCTCAGGTCAGCGCTATGTCACCCTCCCGCAGGACGTACACACCGCCAGCTGGCAGACCCTGGGCCTGGGATCAGCTGTGGTGTCAGTGCAGTGCTCAGCTCCCACCACACGCTTTAAAGAAAATATGAAAAATAAACAAAACTGTGCTGCAAAAATGCCTTTCCTAACTCACACCAACGGTGTGGCTCTGATCTTTTCTGATAGTATTCATCCCTCTGAGCAAATTCAGGGTCCAAAATAAGAATTCAACATATTTACAACTTTTATTGAACTAAACAATTATTTCAAGGTTTCATTTCAAACACAGGAGGACATGAATCCTCGTCAGTTTAAGCTGCTCTGAAAAGTTAATCTGAGTCTCTCTCCTGCTGACAGATCATCAGCTTTTACAAACCTACAGACAGAGAGAGAGAGAGAGAGAGAGAGCACAGAAAGAGGCTAAACTGTTCTCTACTTTGACTCTCTGATATCAGACATGGGGAACAAGTGACTTTCTACTCCTCCCATTCCACTGGAGGATGTCAGCTGAGGCTGCAGAAGATGAAGATCTCTCTCTCTCTCTCTCTCAGGTACGAGTCTCGGTCCGTCCATCTCAGCGGCACATGGGGGCGGGCTGTTTGGCGGCAGCATGGCGCTCTCAAGTGGAAGGAAGGTCTACATAACAGGTCTCTCTGCACCTAGCTCTAGAAAAACTGAACTGACCCTCAATGATTGAGAGATGGTGGGGGTCTGAGCTGCTGTTTCTTTAAACTCTAAGGGTTGATCTAGAAGATTTGTGATCTTTGTCCTACCATACTCTGAGCCAAAACACTGACAACTTCCACAACTAAGCACAAAAAAACTTCTTAGACAGCCTTCACCTTTTTCTAGAGAATGAATAATCTGGATTTAGAGATTACCTGTTCCTCTTGTGGTTGGCTGATGGAGACCTTGAGCGTGAGCGAGAGAAGGAGCGTCTGGGTGCCGAGCCAGAGCGAGACCTCGATCTGGAGCGGCTTCAAAACAAGAAGGTAAGATTAAGATGTGACACGACTAAGAAAGAGAGATGAAAGACTTCCTCTGCTGTGACGAATGAAACCTGAACAGAGAGCAAACCAGGAAGTTCATGTTTGTCTGTGTTTTTATTGGTTAGTGTGTTTACAGGAAGCAGGGTTGTAGTCTGAGACACCTGGAACATGTTAAAGATGTGGAGACATGCAGTTATCATCATCATCATTTTACGACCTACCTTCTCACCGGAGTCCTGGACTTTGAACGAGCTTGGGAGCCAGACCTAAAGTCAGAGGAAACAGGTTTAAATACAGGTGTGCTGTAAATACCTGTGGAGTAAATGATCCAAGTGAGGCTGGAATTATTGTTTCTCTCAGACATGAACTCTGTCGGCCCCGGACACAACATCTGCTGCTGAAGATCTGGATGAACAGGGACGCCTACATCCTCTACAGACCTCACCTCTATCATTACGAACGACAACAAGCTGTTCTGTCAGCTGGATCCTTACCTGCTCCTGCGCCTGGAGTAGGACGGAGATCGGCGGCGGCTCCTAGAAAAGACGAATAATCAGTCAAAACAGACGAATGACGACATGACAGGAAAGTCCGTTTAAACAGCTGCTGCAGTTTTTACTAATCACCTGATTAACAGGCAGTAAATTCATCTGTCAGCTGATTTCTAACATCAACACTGACTGGGACAGACGGAGAACACAGTTCCCCAGCATTCCTTGATAAGTCGCACTTTTCATCGTCACCACAAGCGCGCTGTTGCTGTTGCTGTTGCTGCTGAATTATGTTTGAACTACAAACCCCAGGGTCCTTCACTGAGTCTGAAAACACCTACAACACCAATTTCCTGTCATTTGTCCTGACATTTGGTGATAACGTACCGGCTGTAGCTACGGCTGCGTGAGCGAGAGCGATAGCGGCGCCCACGGGACCTGGATCTGGAGCGAGATCTTGAACGAGAGCGAGATCTGGAACAGAGAGAAACAAGCCGTTTGTCCTCCTTCTCTATCTTTTTGACGGTGTCAGATTGTGAAAGTCTAACCTGGACTCATCTCTAACCTGCTGCTGCGGCGCCCTCCTCTCTTGCTGAAACGGTAGCAGTCATAGGCGTAGTGACCCCGATCCCCACACTGATAACAGCGATCATTGGGGTCAAACTGCCGTCGGCTCGGGCGCCCACGACCCTTTCTGGAGAGGCCTGTTGACATCTCCACCCGAACTCTGGACCCACAAAGGACTCTGTGGAGGAAAAGCAGAATAAGAACGGGCCTGCAGCGACGGACAGCAGATCTAAAAGAGCTTCATCGACCATCTCAGACCCGGCTCTCTGTATATTTCTATTCTGTCACCTAACAGGCTCAGCACCTGTGGATTTTACGGCACAGTCGCTGATCAGCTTCACTGAAGATTTGCGTCCTCTAAATGACACTTTCACAGAATGTCCAAATAATAAAAAGTCTAAAAACCTTCTGAGGGTGTATTAATACTTACTTTCCGTCCATTCCCTTCACAGCATCCTCGGCATCTCTAGGATCCTCAAACTCCACAAAAGCAAAACCAGGTGGGTTCCTCGCCACCCAGACGCTCCTGAGAGGGCCGTAATAACTGAACGCTCGCTCCAGCTCTCCTTTGGCGGCTCCGTTTCCCAGGTCGCCCACATAGACCTTACAGTCAGTGGCCCGGGATGAACTGCGGGATGATGAATAGTAGGAGGAGGACATCTTTCTTTACCTGTTGGAGAAATACGACACACACACACACACACACACACACACACACACACACACACACACACACACACACACACAGGTGTTTAAAGTCCCGGTCCAGTCCATTTAAAGGTAGTTTCACCTTTTAAAGATGTTTTCTTTGTTTCTGTTTAATCGATTCAAACTGCATCTTCAAACTGATATCGATTTAATCTTTTCTCATGATTTTTAATTCCAGATGTCCCAGACCTACATTTATTATAAAGAATATTATAACAGTCTAAACAGTCTGTGGTAAAAACTGTTCAACATTCTAAATGGTGAAATATAATTGGTCATAATTAGTCCTTGCTGTTGTATAAGCAGTGCTAATTTACGGAGGTTTTATTTTATCTAATTGTTTAAACAAAATTAGTTTTTAATAATTAAACTGAAACGACTTTATTTTAGCGCCAAAAATCTCCGAATATTCTGGACCCTCTCCTCCTTTAACATTAATGTAAAACAGATTTATGACCCTTATATGTGAAATTATCATAAATTTGAGGTTTTTCAGTCATTTTCGGTCAAATTCAATCAGTGAAAATGAAAATTCAGCTCCGTTACTGACGTGAAAACACCGATAATAAATCACTCTTTAATATTAAATCTTTTTAAAAACGAACACTGATTAAATTTAACCTTTGATGGTCGGTCTGAGTCTCTGTTTTTTAAAGTTTTTGTTGTTTTTTTGTTAATTTTTTTAAATTTTCTTTTAATCCGTCCCCCCCCTCCATAAACAATGGCGGCGGCTACACGAGCTCGCTCACGTTACCTCCCCGCGCCGCTCCGCTGGTTTCCGCTCCCAGAACGTAGATTAAACCGTCTCCGTCAATAGTCTGTGATGTTATTAGAGAATATAACAGCGAAAATCACGAATTTATCCCTTAAAAAAACACTTTTATCAGATTATCATCACCGGGTCAACACAACCGACGGAATACGACCTCACGCGCTGCCGCCTTACATCCGCATCTGCGCACTAACACTTCTTTTCTTTGTTTAGTGTGATGGCGGGCGATGACCCGGATAAGAGGAGCGCAGTACCGCCACCTACCGAGCCGGGGCGGGACCAGAACCACAGACAGACCGCGACGGCCATAGACATAATGTACGTAGATGCCGTAAAGCCTGACGCTGCCTATTGGAGCCCTAGACTGTCTATGATTGGAGCTCTCGTATCAGCGTGGCCGCCATCTTAGATAGGTCCCCCAGGCGCCTCCATTACATTAAGGTAGGTAGGAATGTCTAACTATATTAATAACAACTCTCTGAATCTCTGCCTGATTTTCACTGTTTCGTTTGTTGGGATGTAGCAGTAATACAGGACAACATCACACATTAAAAATAAAACAAATTATCTTTCAATCTTATTTGTCAAATATAATCCTACGTGATCTGGTTCCAATACTGAGTCGTTTTTTTCAAACATGGAGTGAAAAACGGGTATAGTTGCTCGTTCTCCATTGACCAGTTTGGCTCTTGAGCGAAACTGGAGAGGAGAGACCCATCCAACATGGCGGTGACGCTGATTTACGATCCAGCAAGTATATAATGTCTATGGTGACGGCTGTGTTCGTTTTTCTGAACAGAAAATAAAATAAAATTAAAAAAATTAAAAAACCTAAATTCACCAAAACCTCCGAGTCTTCCTGTAAAACCAAACCGTGATGTCAGATCATAAATCCAGGTCAATAAAAACTAAAAACACCACATTAAAACAAACAAAAACAGCGTTCAGGACACGAGGCTGTTCACAGGAGGTTAAAAGAGGTTTGAAAACAGAAAATCTTCTGTAAAGTAAAAACAAATATAGACAAGAAGCACATTAGAGTTTAAAACAAACACCATATTAAATTATCTACAATCATTCAGTCACAACATCATGTGTCCACGCTGGATCTGACCTCAGGACTTCATCAGACCATCAGACCCAGACCAGGTCACAGTGAAAACAACGCAGTGTTTTCACCCTAACGCAGCTTTTCCTGAGTGGTTTATAAGATATATGGCTCAATACATCCCTCCTCTATTTTACACACACACACCTATATATATGTGTATACGTGTTTATGTGTATAGATAGATAGATAGATAAAGTTAGGGTTGTGTTCTTGATGTCTAAATCTTGACTTTTTTTCTCCTCTCCCGTTTTTCATGTTGTTATTAAATCCTTCACTTGTCGATGAACACGCCGTCCTCTGTTGTTCCCTTCAGTTTGGTCAGACGTTGATTTGTTTTCAACACTTGAGCTTCAGTTTTAGTTCAAGGTCTCCAGACTTTGTCTAAAGTCTGTAAAAACAGGAATATTGAAATATTTACTGACGTCAGAGATGAAAACGTGTCCTTTACTCGCCCCTCAGTCAGTCAGTCAGTTTATTGTGGAGGAAGGATGGTGGCCTTCATGAAAGAGACCCTTCCCTTAAACATTAAAGCTCACTAAGTTTACAAAAATGAAGTTATTTTAATATTCAGGTGATTTTACACCAGTTTTAATTCTGCACGTATATTCTCTCACGTGTTCTGTTATACAACCGTTTCTTCTCCTGGTGAATAATTATTATTCATTTTTAACAGACGCGGTTAGTCTCCCAAAGACTCACACATGTTGAATTTCTCTGAAACTTTGAGCGGTGAATTAAAACTCGTTTAATATCCAAATTAAAGTCAGACGCTTGAGCGTGGGTAAACCTGCTGGACTGAGAACAATCTGAACAGTTTGAACCTCCAACAACATGTCAGGTGAGATTTTCAGGTGGAGTTTTACCTGCATCTCTCTCACCTCAGGAAGGTCTCAGAAAATCAGAATCTGATCCGACGTCTTTTGGTGTTTGAGGCTGATCAGAGGAGAGCGGATTGACCTTCGACCTCCACCCTCCTCCACGTGGAGATCTCTGATCTGAGTTTTCGGACACTTTGTCAAAGGAAGGAGGAAATCCAGGGGGTTGAAAATAATCTGGATTATCATGGATAACATGATGGACGGTGTTGACACAGTTTTGGTCTTGGGTTCAGTTCCTTTCTTTGTTTCGTCTGCCTGTATTTCACGGTTTTATCGATTATTAAGAGAGTTCAGCGTATCGATAATCCCAGCCTCTGTTTTTACACAGACCGGCGTCTTTGTCTGTTTGTTAAAAGTTAAAAACAGAATTATTTTATTATTCATCACGTTATATCAGAAAAAAACACCTTTATACCCGAGTCAATCATCTGTCACAGCAGGTCACAGAGTCTTCTGTGTTTTTGTGCGTTAACAGTCAATAAATAGAATAAACAGAGAATCGCTTCAACACTTGAACTGCAGTTTTCCAACAGTTATTAAAAAAACTCTGTTGGAGTTTCTTCTATAATCGCACTTTGAGAAAAAGGACACGGACACGTGAGGCCTTAAAAATAAACTATATTCAAACATGGTTGATTTCAGACCTTCAGGATCTTTCACTAACACAGAAAACCTCATGCCAAGTTTTTTTCAGCATTTCATAAAAAAACTTCAATATTCATCTTCAGTTAATAAGTTATTACAGCATTAATTCAATGTTTCCGTCTATCACAAGATATTGTAGTAACTCAGTTATTATTATTATTATTATTATTATTATTATAGTTTCCCCACAAAGTTTCAGGCAGAGAGAGAAAAGATTCATCTTCATCTTCATCACAGGAAAACATAAACGTCACAACCACAGAGAGACAGGGGAGAGAGGAGTCCAGGGAGGAGGAGAGGAGGAGGAGGAGGAGGGGAGGAGGAGGAGGAGAGGAAGGAGGAGGAGGAGGAGGAAGGAGGAGGAGGAGGAGAGGAAGGAGAGAATGAGGAGGAGAGGAGGAGAGGAGAAGAGGAGGAGGAGGGGAGAAGAGGAGGAGAGGAGGAGGAGGAGAGGAGGAGAGGAGGAGGAGGAGGAGAGGAAGGAGAGAATGAGGAGGAGAGGAGGAGGAGGAGAGGAAGGAGAGAATGAGGAGGAGGAGAGGAGGAGGAGGAGGGGAGGAAGGAGGAGGAGAGGAAGGAGGAGGAGGAGAGGAAGGAGAGAATGAGGAGGAGAGGAGGAGAGGAGAAGAGGAGGAGGAGGGGAGAAGAGGAGGAGAGGAGGAGGAGGAGAGGAGGAGAGGAGGAGGAGGAGAGGAAGAGGAGAGGAAGGAGAGAATGAGGAGGAGGAGGAGGAGGGGAGGAAGGAGGAGGAGGAGGAGAGGAAGGAGGAGAGGAGGAGGAGGAGAGGAGGAGAGGAGGAGGAGGAGAGGAGGAGGAGAGGAAGGAGAGAATGAGGAGGAGGAGGAGGAGGAGGAGGAGGAGAGGAAAGAGGAGGAGAGGAAGGAGAGGAAGGAGAGGAAGGAGGAGGAGGAGGAGGAGAGGAAGGAGAGGAAGGAGGAGAGGAGGAGGAGAGGAGGAGAGGAAGGAGGAGGAGAGGAGGAGAGGAAGGAGGAGGAGGAGGAGGAGAGGAAGGAGGAGAGGAAGGAGGAGAGGAGGAGAGAATGAGGAAGGAGGAGGAGGAGGAGGAGGAGAGGAAGGAGGAGGAGGAGGAGAGGAAGGAGGAGAGGAGGAGGGGAAGGAGGAGGAGGGGAGGAAGGAGAGAATGAGGAGGAGAGGAGGAGAGGAGGAGGAGAGGAGGAGAGGAGGAGAGAATGAGGAGGAGGAGAGGAAGGAGGAGAGGAAGGAGAAGGAGGAGGAGAGATGGGGGGGTCCCTGACCCAAAGACGTAGAAATAAATCAAAAAGACGAACAAACAGACGATGATCTGAGAGGAACAGAGAGAGAGAACGACTTTACAACCGACGAACGAGAAGACCGACAACAACAACAACCTGTCTGTCTGTGTGTGTCTGTGTGTGTAAATGTATGTGTGTGTGTGTGTGTGTGTATAAATATATGTGTGTGTGTTTATAAGTGTGTGTGTGCGTTGTCTCTTCTCTGATTGGTTTATTTGAAGCCCTGTTAAAATGCCGACTGGCGTCCATCATCGTCTTCATCATTGTTGTCGTCGTTGTCGTCGTTGTCACAGTAGACCATGCTGCTAACACACAAACACAGGAGATTCTTCTTCATGCATCTGCAGAGGAACATCTAGGAGAACGAACACACACATGTGGGGGGGGGGCACATCTAACTACAGAACAGCCAAGAAGGTCGACAGGTAGAAGTTCATGGAAACATGGAACATCGTCTGGAGACAGTTCTGATGGTTCTGATGGTTCTGATGGTTCTGATGGTGGAGCTGAACCACGTCTGGGTCACTTCCACCGGGTCGTCTCCATGTTTGCTGGGCGCCATCTCCGCCCTCATCCACATTCAGCTGCTGCTCCATTACAGTGTGAGAGTTCAGCGGACGTGTGTGTGTGTGTGTGTGTGTGTGTCTGTGTGTGTGTGTGTGTGTGTGTGTGTGTGTCTGTGTGTGTGTGTGTGTGTGTGTGTGTGTGTGTGTGTGTGTGTGTGTGTGTGTGTGTGTGTGTCTGTGTGTGTGTGTGTTGATGTGTGTGTGTGTGTGTGTGTGTGTGTGTGTGTGTGTGTGTGTGTCTGTGTGTGTGTGTGTGTGTGTGTGTGTGTGTGTCTGTGTGTGTCTGTGTGTGTGTGTGTGTGTGTGTGTGTCTGTGTGTGTGTGTGTCTGTGTGTGTGTGTACACACACCCTCACTAACCTCAGACTGACATGATTCTGACGATGTTCCCCTTCATGTAAACATGCTACTGACACCTGCTGACGAGGAAAAACACGACAGACCCGCCGATCTCTGTGGGTTTTTTCTAACGAGTCAAACTGTCGTTTTTTTTAATTATTGCACATTCAAACCCCTCCCTCTAAAATCACCTTCAGGACCACCGCCTCTCTTCAGACTCAGAATCTTCTTCCACAAAAATAAATAATCTCTAAATTAATCCTCCGATGAGAAGAAGAAATTTACGACAACAAACGAGTTTTTCTCTCCGACAGATTATCTTCTGACACACGACACGGTTCGAGCAGGAAACACGGAGCATGGAAAACCGACCAAAACCTCGAACTTCAGACAGGACGTCGTCTGAACGAGCGACTCGACGGTTTTCAGCTCCGGACAGAAGTAGAAAAAAACGTCTTCTTGGCTTCATCTGCGAGGAAAAGATAGAAAACTGGTTTTATAAAGTTTATAAAGTATAATAAGGTCAAAGGTCAAATCTTTCTGTATTGATTGACTTGAACAGCACTTGTTGTTATTGATGAGGACGGTGAATGTTGTTGTCATGGTGATATTCACCTTCGGAGGATTGTGCTCTGTTTACCTTTTGAAGTCGGATTAGAAACCAGCGAACGAACGAAGACGAAGGATTAAAGAGTGAGCGAGGAGATCATGTGACCCTCTCAGAGGAGGAAGTTACTTCAGCGCCGAATACTGAGTCAGTGTGAGAGTCGAACACGTCTGAACGACACGACGGGACAGAAGTTCTGAAGAATATTTGACCCGGATTCTCAAAAACATCTCGCCGTACTTTCTCTTTAAAGCGGCCCGTGTTCTGGTGCTGTGGATATTTGTGATGTCTGCAGAGCGGAGCGCCCCCTGCTGTCGACCTGCAGACTGTAAACATAGTTTGGAGGACTTGGTGATCGACCTTGAAGAGTTTCCCTTTAACGGGAAGAGAGTTCAGCAGGTCCAGAACTTCTTGAGTGGACCGGGCCCTGACGAGCAGAGCAGGACCGTGGAGGTGAGGCGGTGTTACACCTGTACACCTGAATGTAAACAAACACTGTTGACACGAGCCCGACCAATCAGAGAGCAGGACCGTGGAGGCGGAGTTACACCTGGATCAGCTCAAAGACTCAAAGATCTGGACCGGTGGTTCTGAAGGCGCTGTACGGTTACCATGGTAACCAGTGAGCCTTCAATGTAAACGAACACTGATCACACGAGTCCGACCAATCAGAGAGCAGGAACGACGGAGACTTAAAGGAGCAGTCCGTGAAAAACATGAAGGACCACAGCTGAGCGTGTGTGTGAGTGTGAGTGTGTGAGTGTGTGTGAGTGTGTGTGTGTGTGTGAGTGTGTGTGAGTGTGTGAGTGTGAGTGTGTGTGTGTGTGTGTGTGTGTGTGTGTGTGTGTGTGTGTGTGTGTGTGTGTGTGAGTGTGTGAGTGTGTGTGTGAGTGTGTGAGTGTGTGAGTGTGTGTGTGTGTGTGAGTGTGTGTGAGAGTGTGTGTGAGTGTGTGAGTGTGTGTGTGTGTGTGTGTGTGAGTGTGTGTGAGTGTGTGAGTGTGTGTGAGAGTGTGTGTGAGTGTGTGAGTGTGTGTGTGTGTGTGTGTGTGAGTGTGTGTGAGTGTGTGTGTGTGTGTGAGTGTGTGTGTGTGTGTGTGTGAGTGTGTGTGAGTGTGTGTGTGTGTGTGTGTGTGTGTGTGAGTGTGTGAGTGTGTGAGTGTGTGTGAGTGTGTGTGAGAGTGTGTGTGAGTGTGTGAGTGTGTGTGTGTGTGTGTGTGTGAGTGTGTGTGAGTGTGTGTGTGTGTGTGTGTGTGTGTGTGAGTGTGTGAGTGTGTGTCTGTGTCTGTGTGTGTGTCTGTGTCTGTGTGTGTGTGTGTGTGTGTGTGTGTCTGTGTGTGTGTGTCTGTGTGTCTGTGTGTGTGTCTGTGTGTGTGTCTGTGTCTGTGTGTGTGTCTGTGTCTGTGTGTGTGTGTGTGTCTGTGTGTGTGTGTCTGTGTGTGTGTGTGTGTGTGTGTGTGTGTGTGTCTGTGTGTGTGTGTGTGTGTGTGTGTGTGTGTGTGTGTCTGTGTCTGTGTGTGTGTGTCTATCACTAACCTCAGACTGACATGATTCTGACGATGTTCCCCTTCATGTAAACATGCTACTGACACCTGCTGACGAGGAAAAACACGACAGACCCGCCGAGCTCTGTGGGTTTTTTCTAACGAGTCAAACTGTCGTTTTTTTTAATTATTGCACATTCAAACCCCTCCCTCTAAAATCACCTTCAGGACCACCGCCTCTCTTCAGACTCAGAATCTTCTTCCACAAAAATAAATAATCTCTAAATTAATCCTCCGATGAGAAGAAGAAATTTACAACAACAAACGAGTTTTTCACTCCGACAGATTATCTTCTGACACACGACACGGTTCGAGCAGGAAACACGGAGCGTGGAAAATCGACCAAAACCCCGAACTTCAGACAGGACGTCGTCTGAACGAGCGACTCGACGGTTTTCAGCTCCGGACAGAAGTAGAAAAAAACGTCTTCTTGGCTTCATCTGCGAGGAAAAGATAGAAAACTGGTTTTATAAAGTTTATAAAGTATAATAAGGTCAAAGGTCAAATCTTTCTGTATTGATTGACTTGAACAGCACTTGTTGTTATTGATGAGGACGGTGAATGTTGTTGTCATGGTGATATTCACCTTCGGAGGATTGTGCTCTGTTTACCTTTTTAAGTCGGATTAGAAACCAGCGAACGAACGAAGACGAAGGATTAAAGAGTGAGCGAGGAGATCATGTGACCCTCTCAGAGGAGGAAGTTACTTCAGCGCCGAATACTGAGTCAGTGTGAGAGTGGAACACGTCTGAACGACACGGCGGGACAGAAGTTCTGAAGTATATTTGACCCGGATTCTCAAAAACATCTCGCCCTACTTTCTCTTCAAAGCAGCCCGTGTTCTGGTGCCGTGGATCCGACCCGCTGCCTCTGCACAGATATTTGTGATGTCTGCAGAGCGGAGCGCCCCCTGCTGTCGACCTGCAGACTGTAAACATAGTTTGGAGGACTTGGTGATCGACCTTGAAGAGTTTCCCTTTAACGGGAAGAGAGTTCAGCAGGTCCAGAACTTCTTGAGTGGACCGGGCCCTGACGAGCAGAGCAGGACCGTGGAGGTGAGGCGGTGTTACACCTGTACACCTGAATGTAAACAAACACTGTTGACACGAGCCCGACCAATCAGAGAGCAGGACCGTGGAGGCGGAGTTACACCTGGATCAGCTGAAGCTCAAAGACTCAAAGATCTGGACCGGTGGTTCTGAAGGCGCTGTACGGTTACCATGGTAACCAGTGAGCCTTCAATGTAAACGAACACTGATCACACGAGTCCGACCAATCAGAGAGCAGGAACGACGGAGACTTAAAGGAGCAGTCCGTGAAAAACATGAAGGACCACAGCTGAGCGTGTGAGTGTGTGTGTGTGTGTGAGTGTGTGTGAGAGTGTGTGTGAGTGTGTGAGTGTGTGTGTGTGTGTGTGTGTGAGTGTGTGTGAGTGTGTGTGTGTGTGTGTGTGTGTGTGTGTGAGTGTGTGAGTGTGTGAGTGTGTGTGAGAGTGTGTGTGAGTGTGTGAGTGTGTGTGTGTGTGTGTGTGTGTGTGTGTGTGAGAGTGTGTGTGAGTGTGTGTGTGTGTGTGTGAGTGTGTGAGTGTGTGAGTGTGTGTGAGTGTGTGTGAGAGTGTGTGTGAGTGTGTGAGTTTGTGTGTGTGTGTGTGTGTGTGTGTGTGTGAGAGTGTGTGTGAGTGTGTGTGTGTGTGTGTGTGTGTGTGTGTGTGTGTGTGTGTGTGTGTGTGTGAGTGTGTGTGTGTGTGTGTGTGAGAGTGTGTGAGTGTGTGTGTGTGTGTTTGTGTGTGAGTGTGTGTGTGTGTGTGAGTGTGTGTGTGTTCCTGTGCGTGCACACATATGTGGTCCCTCCTGCTCCTCTCAGACGGAGCTCCTCCTCGTCTCCTCTTTGTCTCCTCCTCCTCTCCTCCTCCTTGTCTTCTTGTCTCCTCGTCTCCTCGTCTCCTCGTCTCCTCACTGACTCGGTGGTTCTTGTTTTCGTGGAGGGTCAGCTGAGCGGACGCTCACACTCGGGGATGAATTTACAGATGATTTTAGAAACGTGTTTTTTCATGACGGCGTGACGGAGCGAGACACGAGAAGGGGAGGAGTTATGGCTCTTGGAAACATCGATCTGTCATCGTTGTTTTTGGTCTACTGCGTCATAAATCAAAACTGTCTGACTAAGGAAGCTCGACTCGTGATTTTCTGAACAGGATAACAGCCTCACGGCGTCTAACATGATGATTTCTGTCCGTCCAATCAAATCACTCCATATGTACAGGGGCGGGGCTATTTACAGCGCGTGTGGAGAAACGCATTGATCATCTGTACAGTGATGAGAAGGACCTCGTCAGAAGACCTCCTGGAGTAAACAAACATCATCATCTTTGTGGTTTTGTAAACATTTCACTCCGTTTTCACTCGCCGCTCCACCTCCTGATGGAGGAGGACGGGTGGAGCTGAACCATGAAAGGAGAGAGGAACGGACCAACATGGCGGCGTCGCTCCTTCAGTGGATGGATTTACAGTTACAGGCTCTCTGACCTCTGACCTCAAGCCCACCTGGATCTGAACCAGAACCGCCGAGGTCCAGCTGACCTTCACAATCATCTCCATCTTCTCTGACCTCCACCTTCTACCTCCACCCCCCCAAACTTCCTCTGACCCTTCAGCACACTGCCTGTAACTGTGTGTGTGTGTGTGTGTGTGTGTGTGTGTGTGTGTGTGTGTGTAATTGTGTGCGGCGCTCCTCCTCCTCCTCCTCCTCTGCGGCGGCGGCGCCCGCTGCGCCTCCTCTTTAAAAGCCTTTGATGTGACAGTACGCCTCCAGGCTGGAGAAGAGGATGTAGAGGAACCACAGACCCAGGAACAGTAAAGTGGTCAGGAGGCGGGACTTCCTGGGGCCGCCCAGCTCCCCGCCGATGGAGGGTCGGCGTCTGAACAGAAGCACCGCCATGCAGATGAACGCGAAGATGGTGAAGAGTGTGACGGAGAAGGCCAGCGACCCCGGATCCACCACAAAAGGCTTCCCTTTGATTTTCCAGTAGATGGCGGCCACTGACCACGCCACGCCGATCCCCAGGAAGACGTTGACGGCGTTGCTACCGGTGACGTTCCCAACGGAGGCGTCTGCGTGCTGGTCCTGCATGGCCGCCACTTTGCTAGCAAAGGTGTCTGAGAGGAAATAGAGGAGGGCGGGTTAATCAGGACGCTCATGTTCACAGATATGATCAGAACCGGACCTCAGAGGACCGGACCTCAGAGGACCGGACCTCAGAGAACCGGACCTTAGAGGACCCGACCAGAGGACCGGACCTCAGAGGACCGAACCTCAGAGGACTGGACCTCAGAGGACCGGACCAGAGGACCGGACCTCAGAGGACCGGACCGGACCGGACCGGACCGGACCGGACCGGACCGGACCAGAGGACCGAACCTCAGAGGACCGGACCTCAGAGGACCGGACCTTAGAGGACCAGACCTTAGAGGACCGGACCTCAGAGGACCGGACCAGAGGACCGGACCTTAGAGGACCGGACCTCAGACGACCGGACCGGACCAGAGGACCGAACCTCAGAGGACCGGACCTTAGAGGACCGGATCTGTGATTCTGGTGGAAGTTTAACATCAGGAGACGGCGTGTTCCTCTGAACCAGCGAGAAAGGAAGGAAAGAGGGAAGAAAGGAAGGAAAGAGGGAAGGAAGGAAGGAAAGAGGGAAGGAAGGAAGGAAAGAGGAAGGAAGAAAGGAAGGAAAGAGGGAAGGAAGGAAGGAAAGAAGGAAGGAAGGAAGAAGAGAAAGAAAGGAAGGAAGAGAAAGGAAGGAAGGGAGGAAGGAAATGTTCCCACCCCCACAGGACGGAGAAGGTTCCCTCTTACCTGGAATGGAGGTTCCCAGAGCGACAAACACCACGGCGGTCACCGTGTCTCGAAGCCCCACGGTGCAGCCAAAGTGAGACGCCAAATCCCCGATGACGGCGGTGAGGAGGCCGATGACGCTGATGGAGACCAGGAAACAGGCCCAGCCGTTCCAGTACTCTGTGGGCGGGACACAGGCGAACAGAACCTTCCAGAAGACGGTGAGGAAATGCATCACGTAGTCATAACAGGACGGGAGACGCTCCTCACGACCTTCTTCATCATCATCGCCGTCACCTGAGAGGAGAGAGGAGAGAGGAGAGAGGAGAGAGGAGAGAGGAGAGTGAGCTTACGGACCGGACCGAAACACACACACACACACAGACACACAGAGACACACAGACACACACACAGACACACACAGACACACACACACACACACACACACACACTGAGACATACACTGAGACACACTCCAGGATAACAACTATCTGCACTGCATCAAGTCTGCCACTAGGAGGAGCTGTTTCATTATAAACAAACTCCAGGAA